AGTGCGAAAATAGGACATTTTTTTTTCCTTTTTTTTTTTTTTTTTTTTTTTTTTTGTAATATCGTTTGTCTTGTGGAGATACGAACCTCTAAATGAGGCAACTAAATCATGCAAAAGTAAGTTATATCGCGTTTACCGATTTCTCTGTCGGTAAATCCTGAAGTCCTAAGGAAAAATACAATTTACGGTACCTTTAAAAGGATCCTGAAAACCTTCCTCCAAGATATTGGTATAAACTGATGCATTAACAGTTCCAACAATAAATTTCAGGCTTTTAGTTTCTTTGCTGGATACCCCCAGACGATTTGGCTAGCTGGGAATTTAACAGTAGACATTACGCAATCTAATGATAAGCTTCACATTTACGTCTCCAAACGTACAGCTTACCGTTCTATCCACGTAGGTTGAATTTAGATTCATTCGAAAAACTTGCCGAGTCCTAGTGAGCCTTTGTTCAAGGAAAACTTGCACTCTTGTCCACGAAAGTCGCATGTTCATAATTTTTTTTGTAAGTAAAGGCTTTTTCTCTGTGCGATATGCATGCCCACAGTATTTTAAAACGCGTCTTTGGACAGTTTCAGCTTATTTATTTCTCTAGGTGACGCAGTCCATTGTAAAGAAGAAGATGTTTTCATAGTGGACATTGCATTTCAAATTAATAGTATTTACCCTGCAATTGGAAAATTTCTGTAACCCTTATGTTTCACCGCGTTTGAACCTGCATCGAATTATCATTTGCAGCCTTGTTATTCTCTTGAACATTGGTAAACTGTCGAAATATGGAACACAGTAAATGTGTTCGAACATTGTAATTGACCTAGGCAAAATACACAGGAAGTGTTTCCATAAAGTTCATCAGCAGATTAAATAATTAAGATAATGAACGCTATCGGCTTAAGGGAGAGATGCCTTCATTGTAGTAGGTTAAAGTGAGTGGGACACCAAAACCATCTTCGTGGATCACATAGGTTAACGCACATTAACCATCTTTAGAATTAACTTCATTATGGAGCCATTAGTATCTTGCTTAGTTTGAAGAGAAGAGGTTATGGGTTACTCTTTGAGGATAAGACTTCTTTCCTCGCTCCGTGCTATCCCTTTAGAAGTTGGGGGAGATTTTACTTTTGAATTTTTTACATTTGAACAGTGCAGTGAACTTGTTACGTTACTTCCGATGTGCAGTCATCATGTTTTGTATTATTTGCTTTGCGGAAGGTATTATATGACAAACTAATATTTTGCAGCTTGGTCACTCATCATAAAATTTCGAAAAATTATTTCGCTTTTACATCACACGTAAAAAAACGTGAGAAATCAGTCAGCCAGTATGTGACTCCGGCTTGAATTACTAGACTCTTACTTGGCCTACGGTGAGCACATGAATAAAAGGAATTAAGACTTAATAGATGATATCCTAGACAAAGGCCTCATCGCATTTGCCTTATATACAAAGAAAACAGAAGAATTGAGTAAGAGATTCTTAAAAATATTAAAACTGTTCGCTAAATCCTATCTATAAAATAATGGAATTTTAGCTGTTGATATAATAAAAGTGGAATATAGATCAAAATATGAAAAGGTTTTGATCTGTGAAAGCGGAGCGAAATTCCAATTAGAAATATGTTCTAAATATTTAAAATCATAGTAGAAGAAAGAAATGACGAGTGTTAAATTCAGTTCGCATCATGATTTAATAAGCCGAATGTATAAAAGCTGACAACTACTGAAGGAGATTTATACTTTGTGAGCAAGAACAAACTGATTCTGTTGTGATCTGATTGCTACTGTGAGTAAATAAGGTCCAATGGTTATTGCGCTAATGAACAGTGTAACGATAATAAAACGCTTTCCTAATATAATTTTGTACAAATTTCCTTTTTTCATGAGAATATGTATTTGTGTGTATAAGAAGCCTAAATGATCCCTTTACTAAACCAGTAACTTGGGAAAAATAAAAGTTTGCTTAAATATTAGAAGGGGAAAAATTACTTGTATTGATGCTTCTACAATACAGATATTAGTTTGTAAGCGTTAAAAATGCAATTCGGTTTCATTTTTTCCTTATACGTTGGTATATTACACATTTAGATATATTTAATTAATTATTTTATTATTTAATTTCCCAATACGGAAAAACGTTTATAGTACAATAAAGTAGTTATACTTTTTAAGCACATTTCAGAAGATTTAATAATGTAAAAAATTATCATTCAGATTTGCTAAATGAGATATGCATGTTTTACAGAGAAGCCGTCAAAAATATTCAAAATTAAGATAATAAATACACTTTTTTTTTTTTTTTTTTGAATTTCTCAAATGTACTGAACAGAATTTATTGGAAATTTATATGTTTATAAGGTAATGTAGTACATACTGAGCATATGCAAACACTGAAACAGTTTCTTTTACGGTAATATACTGACAATATACTGTTTCATTCAGATTTTCGAAGCATTAGCAACTGCAGTTTTTAATATCATGCTTTTAAATTGTTTTGATGCCATTTTCTTTATAATTTATAATTCAGTAATAATGTTTTTTACTTGTATTAGTGCATATATGTTTGCAAACTTTCTTTAATGCACTTTCTACCAATAAGTATTTGGACACCCATGCAAATGCCGATATCTGCGGTCCTGATATACGTCACGCCTTTCACAATTAAATATCGCGTAGGAAACAACATTTTAATTAGCGACATGCAAGATGCCACGAAGTGCAGAGTTATTTGATTTCGAGAAAGATGTAATCGTCGGGTATCACGAAAACGGCCGATCCTTAAAGGGCATATCTAGTCAGCTGAATTACCCAAACTCAACAGTGGCCTGTATGATTAAAAGTGGAAGGTGAACGGTGATTATCGGAAAGTTTTTTCGAGTCGGTGGACTCGCGAAACTGGGAGATGGGGACCAATGGGTGCTGTCCAGAGAAATTCGAGAGAACCGTAAAGGGCCGATGACCCACATACTCCAGGAGTTTCGACAGGCAACCGAGAGAGTTGTTTCGATGAATACCATTCGTAAGAAAGCCCATCTGCTTGGTTTCGCGGTCGTGCTGCTGCCCATATGCCTTCCAACCACACTACTCGGTTAATGTGGTGAAAGGAACGCCGACAGTGGATCATTGATCAGTGGAAACGAGTTATCTGGAACAATGAATCATCCATCCTCTACCGTTTGGATTCAGGGTCTGGGTATGGCTTCTGCCTGGAGAACGCCGCTTGCCAGGATGCATCGTGCCCACAGTAAAGTTTGTCAAAAGTGTAATTATGATCTGGGGGTGTTACTCCTGATGTGGACTGAACCCTTGGTCAAAATTCATGGTAAACCGAATACAAATACCTACTACACTATTCTGGATGACAGTGTGCTTCTTACGTTGTGGCAGTTTTATGCGTTGGACACTTGTTATCGCCCAGCTGTCATATTGCTAAGTCCACCATGGATCGGTATAATGGCAATGAGGTTGCCGAATGGACTGACCTGCCCAAAGCTCAGACCTGAACTCTATCGAGAATCTCTAGGACAAGTTGGATTTCCTAATTAAGGGTGCAACAGCTTTCCAGTATCGATAGTAGACCTGACATGTCTTCTCCAAGCCGAGTGGAAGAAAAGTCAAATAGAAAGCATGCCCCGGAGTGTTGAGGCAGTAATTGCCGCTCGTGGAGGCTCCACCGACTATTGGATTTGAATAACTTTATTATTATTATTTTTTTTTATTTTCTAACACAGCTGTCCAAATCCTTATTGGTAGATAGTCTATAGCAGCAAAGGGCTTTCTCGTGATTACTAATCCTTGTGTCGATGACTTTCTTGACTTTCTTGTGGTTTTCTATTGGTAATTAGTCTAAATTTTATAGTATTTTAAATACAATTATGGTAATGAATAAAGATTTGAAAGCCTATCAAAAATACTATTGTGATTAATTTTTAGTTTCGAATAAAATGCTCCAAAAATAGGGTGCAAGATCAAAATTTTATGTTTTAAGTAATAAAGGTTACTGCTACTTTTTATAAAATTGCTGTTCTTAATAGTCCTCAATTGCATTTATGATGAAGCCTTAATATTTTTATCAATATTTTCCTCTTATTAGTAAATTTTTAGCATGTTAAACTTATTATACACACTAGATATGCTCTGACATTATTATTTCTGAACAATATTATGGTACCTTTGCTCAAATAATAATGTCAAATCCTTAAGCATAGAGCGTTCTGAATTTTGGTACATAAAAGCGGTTCTAAATTTTAGTATATAAAGCGGTTCGCGTACCCTTTTTAAACTAAGGCGTGTAATATCCAGAATTTCAATTTCTATTTGATCAGAGTTATGTGATTTAATATTTTAATTCTGCTGTGTTATAATGTGTGTGTGGTGCTCATGTTTGCTATTGTCCTTTTTATATTTTAATAAGTGATTTATAATTTTCAATTCATAATTTAATATTATTTTTGTTTGACCGGCATATTTAATACCATACGTTTTCAGGCAATCATACAAGCATAGTTAAAAGTTTTGAAAAGCTTTGCAGACTATTAGCACTATTAGTTTTAAGTGTAATATTATGTGCATAGGTCTTTTACTTGGAATTATTATACTCATGTGTGTGCAGATTCTTTAGCTGACTAAGTCCAAAATGTAAACAGTTTATAATTTGAATTCATAATAAAGAAATTAAAACAAAATCTATAGGCCGAAATAAAAAGCTGTGCGTAAGGGAAGAAAATTTTACAAAAGATGAAATGATACAAAACTAAATTAAACTGAGGCAGTAAATAACGCTAGTAGCAGCTTGTAATCACGTTCCTGATAGCTAATAAGAAAAAATAAAAGAATTCATAATGCAAAAATCTGCACTGTTATTTAATGTGCGTTTAAAGAAGCAACAACAAATATGTAATAATTACTTAGTTTTTGTTGCTTCTTAATCCATTCAATAATATTTTTAATATGTTTTGATTATATGCTTTCAATGATAAAGATATATTTTTGTGTTGCAGGAGCTACGGTAAAGATGTGCATTAGAAAACCAAAGAGCTTGATGTCAAGGTACACCAAATAGATGTAAATTTCTGTTCGAAAGAAACTGTGTGCCTAAGTTGAGAACTGATGAAAATATAAATACCGCATGAACCACAGTTGATAAAGTATATTATGATAAAATGCATGGCCAGATTTGGCTGGAGACTCACAAAAAGTTTCTATTTCGTTGAACCGAGGGAGCTTAATACCTACATTTTCTGAAGACATAAATCGGCATTAATCAACACATGTTTTTCTTCTGAATGTCATTCATATATGATTAAATGGAACGTTTTGATTTATGTGATTCAAAGACATCTGTAGATTTTTAATTTCTTTTACAACCAAATCTACAATCTGAATTATCTTTATTCAAGGTAATTTATACTATTTAACGCAAATAAAAGTACTTGTTTTTTGTGCTTAAAAATGTATCTTGAGACATTTGTTTAAACTGAAACAATACGCTTTTCATCATGTTAAGTTAAAATAGTTTTCCTTTTCAAAATGGAAGAATTAAAAAGTGTAATGGAACTTAATGAAAATTTATAAAATTTTCGGTGATAAATACTATAGTAAAATTATTTTATACGATAAATGCTTCGTTGCTTTTGCAGCATACAAATTATTTGTAAATTATGCCAAGACCAAAAGCAGAAAAAATGACATCTGTGCTACATGGTCAAAGACATATGTAATCTTTTATGTGACTGTTCAATGCAAGAATGAATGTTAATTTTGAAACTGAATGTTTTAGTTCAAGCTTATTAAAAGCTATGTAAAAATTTATTCCAGACTTCATAAACATCAAGATATCATGTGGCTTAATGAAACGTCAGACAATTCCATAGGAATTGTTCCTCCTGTTTATTCAACAAACATTAGTTTAAATGATGTTATAGATTACAAATTAAATTTTTTCGAGGATGCATCTAATTTATCTGACGTTAATATACCTTCTGTGGCAACACATGTTGCTAATCTTTTAAATCTATCTACGAGCTTTGACGCAACGAAGGGCATGGTATTATCTAATACAAGTTCAATATTTGTAGCAGAACATGAATCTTCTGTTATATATACGAGAAACTCAACAGGATTCGAACCTACCTTTCATAATAATTTGCTTGCTGTTGTTCTAGCATTCTTCTGTATGGCAACAATCTTCGGAAATGTGCTAGTCATGGTTGCTGTTGCAAGAGAACCGTATTTACATACTGTGACAAATTATTTCATAGCTTCATTAGCCACCGCAGACTGTATTGTTGGTGCTGTCGTTATGCCGTTTTGTGTTGTATTAGAAGTCTGCGACGGTTACTGGCCTTTTGGACAAGACTGGTGTGATATCTGGCGTTCTATTGATGTTCTGGCAAGTACGGCATCAATTTTAAATCTTTGTGTAATATCTCTTGACAGATATTGGGCTATAACTGATTCAATGTCTTACCCAAGTAAAATGACTCCCACAAGAGCCGGTATTCTTATAGCTGCAGTATGGGTGTGTTCCGCGTTGATATCATTCCCTGCAATAGCTTGGTGGAGAGCAGTATCTACATTTCCACCTCCGGAGTATCAATGTTTATTCACTGAAGATGTCGGCTATTTAGTGTTTTCCTCTGCTGTATCCTTTTATGTTCCACTGACTGTAATGTTATTCACTTACTATCGAATATATAGAGCCGCAATGGAGCAAAAGAAAAGCTTAAAAATGGGAACTAAACAAGTGCATGCTGTCAATGGCGGACACTGTGCTTCACTGACATTGAGGATTCATCGTGGTGGAATGCTTTCACCAAAATACGAGCCTAATCTAGCGAACGGTGACCATCACAATGATGATTACCATGAAGGAACATCTCTGAAAGTTCCCTCAAGGCACATGAAGAGTTTCTCACTCAGCAGAAAAATCAGTAAACTCGCTAAAGAGCGTAAAGCCGCCAAAACACTTGGAATTGTTATGGGCGTCTTTATATTATGCTGGCTCCCCTTCTTTGTTACTAACGTTCTTATGGGAATTTGTGGAGATCGCTGTGTCATGAACTCTGAACTTGTATTTTCCGTGGTAACTTGGTTAGGATGGACCAACTCTGGAATGAACCCAGTTATATACGCATGCTGGAGTCGAGATTTCAGAAGAGCTTTCATAAAACTACTTTGCTCATGTTGTCCCAAGTATCTCAGGGGCAAGCAGAAGCACAGATCAAGATTCCGCCAGGTGGTCAGAGATGAAGTTTCTCTTCCTCACTTAAAATCTTCAGCAAACCCTATTTCTATCGAAGATATTCATCTATGACTACATGATCCTGATTCGTTCCTAAATGTATGTTGATCATTTGACAAATATGATTATATGTGATAAATGCAGCAAACAGTAACTGGCATCTAAGTATTCATGTAAAGTATGCATTTATGATAAATTTTAATGTAGCAAAATTTGTGTTCAACGTAATAAACAATTGCATTTTCCGAAACGTTTCAAAAATTGCAGTCGGGGCATAAAACTGAGTGATTGTTATACAGTAATGAATTGCATGAAGAGGAAACAGAGGTTTAAAATAATTAATGTGAGTGTATGTATTTCTACTACATACTACTGAGTTCATTACATGTTCTAATACTTTTTATACTATGCACTTAGTAAATCATTTTCTATATACTTTTTTCGATAAATATTAATATATTTGAGTGGATAGAAAATGAATTGAAAGTAGGGATTCTAATTGTTTTCCTAGTAAGCTTGTTCTTGTACAAATTAATTAAAATATATCGTTAGCGCCAGATTTTTAAGAAAACTGCCCTTCAAAAAGCTTCTCCACTCAATTTTTAAAAGTACAATATTGTTATACTTTGCCTTATCACCATACGCTCAAATTTACTAGCATTTAAAATTAATTTGCTGAAAAAAAATATTTGGAAAACTTGTTTCAATTAATAATTTTTCAATTAAGGCCGCAATTTTTTTTATAAAATACTTTATTAAATGAGATGAGGAAAGGCATTAATAAATGTTTTTGTTATTTCCCTAACGTGAAAGAACTTACCAGGAACCCAAAGTATAAGTTTCAAATTAGCTGTATAAACTTGCTAATTAAAAGTCTAGACATCAGCAGCTTCCTTTAAACTTTGTAATTTATGCTTGTACTTAAACCCGCGAAAGATGTGTGAGAAGGTTAGTAAACATTCTTTCATTCAGATAAGGACAAATTCAATGCTCAGTCATTCCTAATGTAGCTTCTGTGGAATTATAAATAGGGCTATATTAGTAACAAAGCTTCATAGTTTTACTTTGCGATTGCATTAAAGGTAGAATTTCTCGGGACGTTAGGAATTTTGCATGTTGAAACGTAGAGCATCTTTTTGCTTCCGACAGTTATAACTGCTTACACTTAGGGTTATTTCATCTCTCAGCATATAATGACACTTTTGGGACATATTGTATTAATGTCATTACTATGTGTATATCTGTCATGCCGCATTATTTAATATAATTAATTGTTAAATATATACACTTTAGTGCCAACTATTGTCGTGTTCTTCTACTTAATGTCTGAAAACTTAAAAACGTGTTGTGTTTTTGATCAAACTAGAATTTTCTGTTTCAGTGTTAAAAACTGTTTAAGAAATGTATTTATTCTCAGATATGCACCTGAGTACATTTTATCGTTGTGTTTTTCTTGTTTAATAAAAGTAATTGTTTGTTATATGTGTATTGTAACAGTATTCTATTGGCTCTTTAAGGCATAATAAAAGAAGCATTTATTTATTGCGATATCGATTGCAATATTTTTATTCATGTTCACATTTTTAGCAAAGGTGCATTTAACATCAGTCCGTATACACCTCGCACACAAATGACTATACAAGTTATTCGAAATTCTTACCACAAGTTTACATGTGACATAAGAAACAGAGAAATATTTATTTATTTTAATGAATGCGTGTATACAGGTATCAACATTTGGTGCTATGTAGTAGCAAAATGCACATGAATTAAAGGCACAAATCATAAACAATACTTCTATTTACAGCAGTTTTTTAATATTATATGGTCATATATGGAATATTACAGTTTCACAGAATTCCAGATGCAAATATTTAATGGTTCGATGCTCTCTTTTTGAAAACCGGTGAACTTATTTTCTTACCGAAATGCTTACATTCATAAAGTGCTGTCGCTGGTGAAAAATATTGAATAAGAATACAATGGCAACTACCACACGAAAATTACAAATCTTAACGTACAATTCATTCACAGAAACATTTTAATCGATATTTAAGTGAGTAAGAAGAATTGGAATCATTATACATATATTGATTAAAATGGCATTATTCTCTCAGATCTTCATACATAAAATAGATAAAAAGTGCGTTACAATTTATAGACATGAAATTGATTTGTTCCAAACATTTTAATTTAATAAAACACGAAATTTATCTTGTTTACATATTAAGCTCATTTATGCAATTAAAATTAGTTACATATATGAAATTCTATTTTATCAAACATTAAAAATGTTCCATTACAGGAACAGTGATAGTGCCAATTATAAGGGCAGTCTATAAAGAATGTCACTTTTTTATACGATTCTCGTTAATGTACTTAATGAGACTTTAACATTCACTACAAATAGCAGCTGCATGTTTACATTGTTGTTGATTCTCTGATTCGTTAATTAAATACGGCACGCAATCATAAATGAATAGAACGTCGTAAGGGTGTCTATAATAACTATTTAACCACAAAAAAAAAACCATGAAAAAATTTATGACATTTAGCATAAATTGTATTATGTGGTGTGGATCGGCCCACCAGCGGCCGAGCGGTAACGTCGCTGAATACTGGTAGTTCGGTCCGAGGTTCGAATCCCGCGAACGGGCTGGCTGCATGGGTGTTTTCGTGGTTTTCCCCATGTGTAACGTGTATCGAGCCAGTTTCCCTTAGAAAGTCCTCCACGAAGGCATCCCTCCCCCTTAGGCAGATAGCCCTAGTGAGCTTTGCCATAATTAAATACACACATACAGTATTATGTGGATCCTACATTACATACGTTATCTAACATGCATATGTAAATTTGTTAGTTTATACATGTGGCTTAATGTGATTCTCTTTTGTTCACACATTACGTTTTTCACTACATTTACGTAGCACTTGCCCAATAACAAACAATATTCTGTTTGAGAATATTTTTATTGTGATTTGACATCAAATCCGCGAATGTTATTTTATTTTCGACATCACGTTCACATTTAAAAGTCTGCATGACGATAACTGCACACGGCGTAAGCTGATAATTTTAAAGATTAGTTGTTCTCATTAATAAGTATGATTCAATGACCGACATAATATCATTTAAGTTCCTAAGCAGTTATTTTATGTTAATATTCTTTACTACTGATCTCATTTTCAACTCTCTGCCAGAATGTAGATTTCTAGTTTAAGCGATATTGAAATGAGGTAGAGAGTCAAGAATATTTAAAGTAAACTTAGAGAGTATTCTGCCTGCTTGAAGGCCACGTTGCTAAATTTAGGTCTGTTGCGAATATTATTCTGCAGTGTTGAGTTTTTCTTGCCATTAGGCTTGTTTACGCCCACTTTATGTCACAGCCAGCTTGCGAGCTTTTCAATTATGAAGCCGTCAGGCTATCTTATTTTAATTAGCTTTAGTTCATCTATTATCTTTAATCCAAGCCATGATTGGTGGCTTCTGTAAGTACGACACTGGCTTCTAATTCTTCGCTTCTGAATCACCAGTTGCGGCCGACTGTTCAACTATATTTCAATTAATAAAAGTGTCCTTAACGTCCTTTTCCTGTCTCTGGGGTACTTATAGTGATAATTCACAGATTGTTCTTTAGAGTTTTGGATCAAATTTATGTTACCAAAGCACGCCAGACTATAAACTTTTTCTCTTATGCGTTTCATCCATCTATCAAAGTTAGATGGATGAAATTAGATAGATCATCACGCCAAATAGGCAAATTTATTAACAAAGACATTTTACATAACCTAAAAGACAGCACAAATAAGGCCCACCAGCGGCCGAGCGGTAAAGTCGCTGAACACTGGTAGTTCGGTCCGAGGTTCGAATCCCGCGAACGGGCTGGGTGCACGGGCGTTTTCGTGGTTTTCCCCATGTGTAACGCTTATACGAGTCAGTTTTCCTTAGAGAGCCCTCCACTAAGGCATTCCTGTCCTTAAGCAGATAGTCCTAGTGTCCTTTATAATAATAAAATAAACCAACCAATCGGCACAAATAAAGTCAAAATTTACTTCTGACACCATTTTCATTGGAATATAAGTCCATCTTTCTCAAAGTGCTGTCGTTACTACTAATACATGCAGCGCTACATGCAGAAATTGAAATGCTTGAGGGATAGATGTGTGATTAATATTTGAACAGGTTTGTTTCAAGTTCTTGACAAGAATTTATTGATTGAACAAACATGTAGTTGCTATAAGAAAACTTTTGGAAGCTTCTAAAAACTCCGAAACGCGGACAAATGATTAAGCAATATTTTAATACTCAAGAAAATTTTACTAATTAATCAGAAAGGACAACAGAATACTGAAGTAAACTTTTTGATTAATCTATAGAATATGTTCACTTATCCCAAAATTTAACGATATGCGGTTGTAGTCTGTTCGCAAACAATTTTATTCAGGAGGTGGTTCATAAACGTCTTATGAATGAAGGAAGATCCCGAAATCTCACATACAGTCAGCTCATTCGCTGGTTCTTAAACAGGTTGAAATACCAGTGTTAAGCGATTTGCCGCTCGGCCGCTGGACTTAGAAGACTTGAAGATTAAAAAAGTCTACAAAGGGGTTTAATGCGATATTAACGATGCTAGAAAACAAACTACGAGAAGCAGTACTCCTACAGAATTAAGTTCTTTGGCCAAAATTGAAGAGCTAAACTGCATAAAAAATTATAACAATTATTTGCATGTATGTACCAGGAAAGCGAGCATATGAAGTGATCAAATGATTTACGAAAAAACGTATGTTAAATTTATTATCATGTTTCTAAATTATTGCTGAAATCGTGCATTAAATGCCCAGAATTGATCAACTCGACTTCAAAGTTAAATTGCATATTTGTGCTCTCAGTTTGAAAAGAAACTGTCTGAAGTTACAACTAGATAATCTCAGTTGATGCTAAAATGAGTTTATCATCGATATACTGTTTCCTAAACTGCACGCTTTGTACCTAGGACAGAGTCTTGTAAGTGTCGTGTATGATGGTAGACGATAAATAGCCTCTTTCAGGGCCCTCTGTTTGTTACTAATTCTTTTGAAAAATAAAACTCGCTTGTTTGATACGGTCTTCGCTCATCGTTGTTCAGAATCTGATGGAGATCCGTTACAATTGAATTCTTAGAAATTTATTATGGAACCATACAGTACAAAACAACGCGTTAAAATTATTGAGTTTTTCTATTCTTGTCAATTATCAGTTGCTATGCTGCAGCGTAAATATCGGGAATATTTTAATTCAAGTGTACTGTTTGGTGCGGTGTTGTTGGCCAATAGAGTTACCGGCCCATATTAATTTGAGAATGAGGATGGAACGCCGGAAACGATTCCTGGAACATCTTACAGAACAATGATGCCAGTGGCTGCCAGTGGCTGAGCAGAATCCTTTTTTATGGGGATATTTAAAAGAAAAAGTGTATGTTAATAAAGCGGAGACTATTAGACAGCTGAAGCAGAATATCCGAGACGAAATACTGAGCCTTCAACCAAAAACATTACGTTACGCTGTAATGGAAAACTCGTTAAAAAGAGCCAATCTCTAGATCGAGAAAAATGGTGGACGTTTGTTTGATGTCATACTTCATAAATAATTTCCGTAAAATATATTTAATGTATAAAAATGATAAAAATAAATCATTATTACAAGATTTATCGGTATTTAACATTAGTAGGTCTTATTTAGCCCACCCATTAAAATCAGTAAAATTATAGTTTATTTTATGAATGTTCAGCTGTTCAAATTTGCGTTGTATTTCACTAACTGATAAAACTCCATGCCTTTCTTAAAATCATTAATTTACACTAATACTAGATTTTAGGAATGTAAAGGATCTTGCGCAGTTAAGAAAAATGAAGGGATTAATGGCTTTTTTTTTTTCTTTCTTTCTTCAATTTTCCATATTAGTACTGTTGCGTGCGTACGGGTTCGTTATGAAATGAATGCACAAGTCCGATGAAAAATGAACAAAAATTTATTATTATCACAACAAAAATGCTTAAATTTTCTCAAATTATCATGCAGTATTACAATATCTCACAGTAGTTATCTTTTAACTACTCAAATGTCCAATAGAACGTAATTCAAAACAGCTAAAGAACGCTAATCCGCGAATTCGCTACAATCAACAACAGCAGTTTTCTAAACAACAACAAACTAAGCAACTACTCCAAACTGAGATGTTTTCCTCCTTTTATAAGATTTTAAAATCACGCGCTAGAATTTTCCAGTACTTTCTCGAAATCAAAAAGAGATATTTATTTATTTAACGCACGCGCTCTTGTATTTTTAATTTTTTTTCCGGCTTAGCTTTCTTTTAATATTCGTCACGCGCTGCACTGCGCGAGAAATAAAACCATTTAATTTATAATTGAACTAACATTAGCTTTTTAAATACCAAATTCGTAACACTGCCCCCTTCCCAAGGACTGCACGTCCCGGGCAGTACAATCCCTGGACAGGAAGCTAAACTTACAACTATGGCATAAATGAATTAATAAGCATTACATTACAA